CTCTCTCTCTCTCTCTCTCTCTCTCTCTCTCTCTCTCTCTCTCTCTCAGGCTGGTCCACATTGGATTTGCAGCTCTCCTCAGCAGGTATCTCACAATTCTGGCGTCTCCAACATCTTTGGGTCTTTTAACACGATCCAGGCTTTACCTTCACAGATTCACACAATGGCCTCTCTGGGCTTCTATCCAGAACATCCCAACACAGAACTGGCCTCAATGGCTTTCCTTAGCCACAGAGAAAGATTCCACAACTTTTTTCTTATGTTCTCGACTGTAAAACCAGTACCACCTGGCTGAAGCTGCCACATAACTGTGTTAATGAGGAATTATGTGCAACCCATATCCTGGGGATTGGCAGTCATTATGGGGGCAGAAGCAGAACCAGTGACAATATCAATGGGACAGGAGAGCTTTGACAAACTTTTACCTAATTTTAAAACAGGAGTAGAATTTGTGTATTTCAAATTGTAGAAGGAGTCATAGGAATGTGCTGAGTTGTGGGTATTTGATATTATTTTCACATTAAATACTAAGTCACTCAACATTATGTTGGGAAACCTCTTTTTGTATCAAGAACATATATGATGCTGCTGGCTTTTGACTTAGTAAACAATTCAGGCTTAGCTCTTGGAGTATCCACTTCCCTAAAGAGCTGAGTTCAGTCTCACTGTACTTCCTATGAACCCACACCACCCAGAGCCTCTGGCTCAGTCAAGGGAGGCTACCTAAGGGTAAGTTGAGGTCTACAGTAAAGTCACTGGAGAGGAGACACTGGCGGCCATGAGCAGCTCCTAGTGCAAAGAGCCTCACTCCTTGAGGACATCTTGACAGAAAGATGGGTTTGTGGGATGGAGAAATGGCTCACAACAACAACAACAAAAAAGGATGAATTTTTGGTCCCTTTTCAAAAAAGGAAAAAAGGAAACCACAACTGGGCACAGTAGCACTGGGTAGACTGTGACAGGAAGTGTATGAATCTGAGGCCAAGCTATACAGGGAAAGGGGTTTTCCTGTTTTGTTTTTTCCTTTAAGGAAAATATAGAAGTTGAGAAGGGGGTTGGGGAGAAAGAATTAGGGAAAAAGGGAGTTGGAGGAGGAAAAAGAAGAAACCAAACATGAATTCCATCAGTCATGCTGATGCAGGATGTTTAAGTCACATTCTCTCTGCTTTCCTTTCTTAGCACATTCTTAAGAGCAGCACATGCTGGGCCCAGCTAACTAACGGGACTGCCTAAGATTTGACTTTGAATTAAAAAAAAAAAAAGCAAAATCTGAGGTAATTTTGTAAAATAATCTCATTGAAAAACTGCTTTTAATGGTCTCATAGGAATGGACAACAATAAGGTATAATTAGAAAAGATGGCCTGATTTAGGAATGAGTGGTTTAAGATCATTTATTTCCTGCATGTCCTCTGGGGATCTTCAGAAGACTCAACAAACTGAAATTTTAGAAACCATCGGACACATTTCTGTTTGACTCGTGTCCAAGTCAAGGCTTTAGACTCATTCTGGGCCTTCTGCCACTTGTCAAGAAGTGTAGCTAGCAGAGATTACTGGAACGATACTGTAACTATCTGAACAGAGATAAGCAAAGGCCAGTAACAGCAGCTCCAGCCAAGTATTCCTCAGGCCCTGAGGCACCAGGAACTCTGAGGTGCACACTCCCTCCTGATTCTGGCGGGCCACAGGCTCATCTTCAGTTTTAAGATCCATTATTTTTAACTAGTTGTCAGGGTCAAGCCATTGTGACTGAGATTAGATTCTAATGCCGACCTACACGCTTACTTAAAGTTTCATTCCAGATCAATTAAGCCCGACAGTTCCGGGAAACGAAGAGAAAGCTCTCTGGCATCCTGAATTTTAGCCTGTATCTTCTCTGTCAATGTTATTAGTAGACCCTACTTATATATTAATGACATAAAGTAAAGGTTTCTACATGATTTCTGTACTCGTGTTAATGCACTTTGACCCTATTCACCACTTGCTTTATTACTCTCCTACCCTTCGTATTTTTTTCTACATTTTCTTCAACTTAACTTTGAAGATCAAAGAGTTCAGAGTGATTGAGCAGGATCACGATGCTGGTATTCATGAAGGCTAAGGCAGAAGGATTTTGAGTTGGAAGCTAGCCTGAGCTACATGACAAAACCTTGTCTAAACAGAAAACAGTTAACAACAAAGAGATTGGAGAGCAAGAACCCCATTTCTTAAGGTTATTTTATTTTGTGGGTTTATTTGGCACAATCAGTTGGGCAACGTCTTATCTTCCACCTGCTTTGATAACTGCTCAATCGAAAGAAGATACCGTGGCTGTCGCTTCTTCCAAGAAGAAATAATAAATGTTGATCATTAACCAACGAGATTACATCCCTTACTGGAATATGCCTCACTTAAAATGCCCAGCCTTGGCTTCCCAGCAGAATTTGAAAGAGAGAGAGAGAGAGAGAGAGAGAGAGAGAGAGAGAGAGAGAGAGAGCGAGCTGCAGTAGACTGGCCACAAGAGTCTACATCATTTTATTGTCACAGAAAAAGACCTCCCCTGAAATTAAGGACAGTCCAGACAAATAAATGGTTTCCATGGAATGACTGTGAGAATTGGTATGCAGATTCCCAAGCAGGGAGGACGACTAGAACATCCTTGGCAACATCTTCAGCCACTCTGGTTCTCTTCCCTCTGTTCTCCATCGCTCTCCTCCCTAAACAGAATCCCTCTCCTATCTATCTCCACATCTGTCTTCTGTATTTCCATCCCTATCTCCTTGAACTTCGGAAATTAGTGTCCTCTGAAGGACCTCCACGAGGCTGTTGCCCCTGTCACCACCCAACACTAGGTGCTGGGCGAAGAAAGGATGGTTAGCCGGAAGTGAGAGGTGAGGAGGCTTCTGGTTGGCTTGTACGCAGGGTGGCAGCATCACCAGGCAGGTTCCAATCCTATTTGGCTATGGCTGGACTCTCATCCACTCCCCACGCCTAGAGTTGAGCATCTGCAGAAAGTAGCTACTGTCGCCTGAGGCCTGAGAGCGGGCGCGCATCAGTCCCCAAGGAGTCCTCCACTCCCTGCAGGTCCACCACCCACGGCAGCTCTTAATCTGGAACCGACCCAGTTCCCTTCTTGTCAAAGCCCACCTCCCGGGTCACACGCCATCTAGAGCTGCTTCTTGTTGGAGAAGGTGCGGTCGCCCCCGGGTGCCCGGCGACTCAAACCGAGTCAGTCAGGAGACTTCGGAAAGGCGACAGGGGGCAGGGCTTCCTGTGGGAAAGGGCCGGAGGGCGGCGGCAGCCTCCTGCCTGGCTCTGCGGGGCTTTCCGCCGGGCGAGGGCTTGGCCGAGGTCACTCGCGAGAGGCCGCTCTTGGCGCGCCTGTGGGAGGCTGGGTGGCGCGGGAGGACGGGCGACCTGCGGGTTCGGCGAGCTCGCACGGCGCTGGCAGCGACGGTCCCCCACCGAGGCCGCGCCTCGCTGCTTCCACCAGAAGGCTCCGCAAGGCTCACGGACCTCCAAGTCCCCAGGTACCTATTGGTCACCTGTTTAGCTTGAGAGTGGGGACTGTCGCTTCCTTCTCTCTCCCCCCCC